TTGCACAATCTGGCAACACTGTACGGAAAAATCAACTAATTTCTCGCCCCATCTGGCAACACTGTAAAATGCAATGTTGCAAAATTTCACCAATAAATAAATCATTTATTTACATGCACCACGCGGCAACGCTGCTGCGCCATCTTGAAAAATACACCATTGCATAACCCGAATAATGAAGGGGCATTCATACACCATTGCATAACCCGCATATTGAAGGGGCAACATGCAATACTTTCTTTTTACAGCGTTGCCATATTGAACAATAAACCCCATACAACGCTGTAATTTAATTCATATTTTTCTGCACAATTTGGCTAAAAACTTTTGCGCTAAAGTCGGCATTTTCACCCTACTAGTAGGTACCTATGAAAATCGATGTCCTATGGCTTTGAATTTTGCGCCATCAGTTCAAATTAGATAGCGCCACTAGACAACATGACGTTGAGCGGAGTAAAAAAAATGCGCAAAGAAAAAAAGGGAGAGTAGAAAAAAAAGAGAAAGAAAAACAGTTTCTGTATTTAACAGTTCTGTATTTAAACAATACCTACGTTAAAGAAATTGTATTTTGTGGAAAAATATAAATAATTAATGTTACCGCAAGATTAATTAAAATCTTCCACCCCACTCTTTTCCTTTCCTATGGTAAATTATTTTTTTCCAGGGTTACGGAAATGATGTCATAGGTAGGTAGTTTTTCATAAGTTCTTTTCATTTGCACCTAGTGCTGTAACTTATTTATGTTCTGAAATATCTCGTAAAATTTTCAAAATCCTGCTAATCAGGACCTTTTTTTGCACTTTTTTTACATGCTCTTCATGTCTATTTCACGAGTGTTTCTGGTGACTTTTTTGCAACGGAGATTGCCGAACTGTTCAGTGTTCTGAATTTGATAACTGGGGGAAAGCGAACGAGTGCCGATTGATGCTTCAATATTTCTGTATGATGTTGTCCTTTTTGCTTGCTCTAATCACCATAATATTGCATTGATGTTATATTTGAAACATCATCTTGAAAACTACAGATTTTTTGCAGTTTGTTACAGTTAATCCTAATAAAGGTAGGTAGACAAGGAGTCTACATCGGAGAGGCATTGTTCTCAGTTCTCATTGTTACGATTTAGAACATCAAGACTTTTAGAAAATGTTGGTCGATGAGGAGCCACTGTTGCTGGAATCGGACCTCTTGAGTTCATACACTTCGAAGTCGCTCTGCCGGGGACAGCAATGACGATCCCCGGTTGACGTTGAGTTGCTAGTAGCCATCTTTGAGATTGTGGAGGTCTTTGTTGTCTCCTTGCGTAGCTGCCGGTGGGGGAAGCAGTGCTGCAGTGTCTTCCGGTTGCAGACAAATAACACAAAGACGACGACGCCGGTCAACGTGTTGAACAGGTCCATCCAGTGGAAACGTCCGATACTATCGTCCCAGAACTTTGAGATCAACTCAGCCACCCAGCTGACACCCATCAACACAAACAACTTCATGTAGAGAATCAGCCTGGAATAAAGTAATGGGTGCATCGTGGAAGGTTAGGTGTGAATAATGAGGCGTCTATTTTCTTTTGGATGGAATATCGCTGAATCCGAAAATGACGAGTAGGTATTTTTCGCTTTTAACCCATGCAGTACATTCCGACTACGCCATTGGAATTGGAACTTGCGAAACTGCTCATGTCCATTTTTCCAAACTTCAGTTTTTTGAGTTGATAATACTTTTTCAACCATAAAAGTGATAAAATGACTTGTTTTGGGATTAAGTAGAGTACCTGTATAGCGAGAGTATGGACAGATCGCTTCATGGAGGGCTTAGGGCCCAAAAGTGCAGCCACCATTCTAACCAACTTCTAACGCACAAAATTTCACTGCCAGTCTGCAGATTCCAATTCTAACCAGGAAAGCCAAGAATGTACAGAAATGAGCGTTCTTCCGCGAAATTGAGTAAATTTATAGTCCAGTCAACGAAGGGATTTTATTGGAACAAACTAGAAAAAGCTGCATTTTTTACCATCGATATACCTACTTCAAAAGTGGTGTTTACCAAAAAGTCCTCACTTTTACCCCCTCTGCTTACCCTCCAGCCCCCCTAAAGTGCAAAAATTACCCTTTTTTTAAACCTCTCTATCTCCTCGCCTAATTGAGATAATCAATCGTGGTTTGTCTTAAAACACTCCTTAAATGTAGAAAATGTTTAATATTCTTCAGTTTTGAATCTTAAGACCACTTAAAATACGATTTTTTCGAGAAAACTGAAATTTTAAAATTTAGAATTTTTTTTTTTTTTTTTTAAAAAAAAAATGCTCTCTAATTTTTCCCCGGTAGCTCGGATTTGACAAGTTATTCAAATAAACGTTGTAGAGGATGCAATTTTTCATCTTTTCATGTGTTGGATGACATATCTATCACAATTAAGAGAGGAGATAGAGGGACGGCGATACGACCTTACCGCATCGGCGCGGCGGAGCGCACTGCCGCACATTGGGACGAGCCCATTACAGAAATGGGACATTCACGGTAAAAATGAAAATCATTAAAAGCAAGAACCAAAGGTGTAGAAGTTACCTGGAGGGTCTAAACTTCCAGAATAACGAAGATTTAAACAATTTAATTGAGGAATATTCGAATGACAGGCGTAGAGAAACGCGTGTTTCGGAAAGATGAAAAAAAGAGGTAAAAGCGCACGTATACAAATGTTGCTCCTTTAGCTTCCGAGACGATTTTAAATGCAATTTTTTGTTATAACAATTGAATACAAACATAGACTATTCGTTTACGTCTTTGGTGATGATTACTTTTTACTTCCCGGGGGTCAGAGAGTGAATTCAAAATCGACAAGTCAAAAAACTAAAATTCAAACTTCAATTAGAGTTTTAAAATAATGTCCAGACTTGTCCAAGAAACGGTTTGCAAATCGATATTCTACGTATCCTTAGCTTTCAGAATCATATTTGTTTTCATCCGACTTCTTCCGACTTTGGAAGTTACAAGGGAAAACATGAGCGCGGTTCGCTTAAAATCGAGCGCTTTCACAGGCCAATTGACGGTTGAGGTTGAGTGCAACGGGCTGCGTTGCTGGCCGCCGGCCGCGCCACCGCTGCGTTGCTTATCAGCTTACTGCAATGCTCATCTGATATCTAGGATTGCTATCGTCTTTTTTTGTAGACCGATTTTTTATTTTTTATTTTGCAAATAATCGGATGATGTCGTGATGGAAACGGTGCTTACAATCGAGGCGGAAATTAAAAATTTAATTTCAACCAAAGTGGACAGTTTGACAAAGTGTCCCATGATTTGTATTCCACCATGTTCGATAGGAAAATTTGCAATATAGTAAGTGGCATTAAATCCTCATTCTTATGAACGATATCTCAGAAGTGCAGAGAAGACCCCTAAGAAACTCGGAGTTTCCAAAGTATGGAATTTGTCTTGGCATCTCAAGATTAAAACTTTTGAGTGTCTGTTGCATATTTCGTATAATCAGGATTTGAGAAAATGGCGCTCCAAAACGGGAGAAGAAAAGTCCTTGAAAAAAAACGGGGAAAACAGCATCTGTGTCAAAGAATGATAATATATGGGAGCAACTTATTCGTTTATGATTTTCGGATTCACTTTAATGTCTGCCCATTGATGAACTCATTCCCCTATAGTCAAATATCGCTGCGGTTTTGGCGATACCTAGGTAAGAAGATGGTGGGGGGGGGAGGTGTTTATTCTTAATAAAAGCATTTCTCCATTTCAGGATAAGTGAATTCATTTTCTTTTTCAATGAAAAATAGCAAACGACACGCGCGTTAAACCTCTACCATAATCATGCTAATCTGTTTATCAAATAGATTAAAACGGAGACTTGGCAACACCATTTTTTGGCAGGATTGTCACTATGAACCAAATACTGAGCATAATATTGGATTCCTTTTCCCAAAAAGACCGAAAATGTCAAGTTATGAGAAGATCGGCGAAAAATCATCGTCTAATATGCGAATGTCCCGTTTTGACACCTTTTCGTCCCACTGTGTGCCGCGCGCCGCACTACAGCTGTCGGCGCTCAGCGGGCGCCCATTCGAACTGTCTTTACTATCTATGTACTTTTACTCAGTATAACTACTGTTTAAATTATGATCCTCGTTTTTGAGGGGGGGGGGGGGGGGGGGGGTTCGACTACCCCTCCATCTCCTCCGTATGCATCACATTCACATTCAAAAAAGCTCATTATATGAGGGGGTCTCAGTTGGAGGGGAGAACATATTTTCTACATCACTTCAGTCGATGGAAAGAGACATTATAATTTATTATATTGAGTATAAACAATTAAAAATACATGGCTGTTCTTCTATCACGACCAGACTTACAAATTATAATATCTATGCTATACGCTCCAAGACCTCCTAAATTTGCATCTCTGGCAATGCCTAGTTCCAGCGTTTCACCGGGCCGATTTTCATGATTTTTGCAACTATCGTCAGGCAAATGTCTCTAAATGTGCCCGCTGTTTTCAGATTTTGAAAATATGACTTAGGTTTTTTTTTAAATTACACGGTAAACTTGCGAATTCTCTTATTTGAACAGTGTAAATTTTTATTTTTTGTCACAGTACGTTCGAGCGTTCTACTCTGGGCCTATTGCCATGATTTTTGTGGTTATCGACAGGTGATAGTCTTTAGATGAGCCCGCCCGCTCTCTCTAGATTGTGGAAATATGACCCAGGTTTTTTTTGTAAAAGAGTTCAACAAGGATCTCAGAAAGAGGGGCAAACTTTGAAATTCCTGCCATTTTTCATCGGCGGGTGATTTCAAATTTTGCCGAAAATTGAACTAAGCGGGAAATTGTGAATCTTGCTCTGCTAGGAAGGAGAGGGAAGTGAATCGAAGGCATATAGTGCTTTACTGCGGACTATCTAAAAGTGACGAAACACTTAGTTCCGTTCGTTCCGTTTCGTTTTAGTCTTATTGGAGTTACAATTATTCAACCTATGATCATATGTTATGTAAACTCATCTGTTAGATATATAACCTAGAAGTGATGTATATGAAAATGCAGTCTGTCTCACAAGATTAATTATTTTTATTATTCCTATAAATTCACATTAGGTTATGGGCCCAGTGAGCAAAGTGAGGTTCCTCTCAAAAAAGTTATTGAGTTAAAGTTATAAAAGTTTAAGAGTTTATTCTCAAAAAAATTAGTATATTCTCAAAGAGTGAGTTTTTCTCAACAGTAAGGTTACGTCTCAATAGGTTAGTCGGAATGGCCGATTTGGAAAAGAAAAATAAGAAGTGTACTGGAAAACAAGGTAGGAGCTATTATGGTTATAGATGGAAAGTTGAAGGATCCAGGTGACCCACGAGAGGATGCAAGTGCTGAGGAAATTCAAAAAATTGATAAGCTGAAAAGTGTTTACAAGAGTGCTAACTCTCATTTTAAAGCTTTGTTTGCTGTTACAGTCTCTCTGACAGCATTTACCAAAAGATCATGGATAAAGAGACAGCTTACGAAGCATGGGAAGCACTAAAGCAACAATTTGAAGCAAATTCAAAAGATCAGCTTTTCAGAAGCTGTAATGATTTTTTCTCGTTTAGTTGGAATGAAAAAGATGATGTCTCAACTCATGTAGCAAAATTAAAAAGTTTGTGGATTGAACTGAATGGCAGCCTGGAAGCAAAGAAAGAAAACAAGTTGCCAGATGTAATTTTAGTGTGTAAAGTGTTGCATATACTACCAACTGATTTCGATAACTTCAGATCAAGTTGGATGTTGATTACCAGTGATACAGAAAAAAATGTTTGATGAGTTTTGTAATCAGCTGTGCATGTTTGAAAGAAATATGCGGAAAAGTAATAAAGATGAAATAAAAGAAGAAGCTTTAGTTGCTACAACTAGCAAGACTGAAAAACCCAAAAGTAGGTAGATCTTTTCGGTCAAACCGAACAGATTCATGTCATTGCTGCGGGTTGAAAGGTCATTGGATCCGGCAGTGTCGAAAGTGGATAAACCAAGAAAAACAGAAGTAAAAAAGGAGACCGTTAATATTAGCAACACTGTAGATGAAGACACAGATCAAGCTGTTGCCTTAGTTACACTCTGCAGTGAAGAAAGCGTTTCTTCAGCTGAGTGTGAAGGTTGGTACATCGAGAACGGAGCAACAAAGCATGTGACTCATAGTAAAGGTTATTTTAGAGACTACGAGGAGTTTTCCAGTTGCCTAGAGATGAAAGCTACAGGAAAAGAAAGCTTAAAAGCATATGGTAAAGGAAATATCTCATTTAAAAACGCACAAAATAAGACAATTCTTCTGACAGATGTGTGGTATTGCCCAGAGATTTCGAAAAATTTGGTATCAATTTTGGCAGCACAAGATCGTAATAAGGACAGCGAGTTTACTTCAACTGCGACAACATGTATTTTGAGGATTAATGGCAGAGAAGTCCTCAGAGGAATCCAAAATAGACAGGGATCGTTATTCAAAGCTGAGATACGAGCATCCTATATATTAAAATGCAAAGTTCC